AGGCATAACCTAGATTTTAGTTCTACCATCATTTTCTAAAAAAATAGTTCTAGGAAGTTTTTTTAAGCTCAAATTCAGTTAGCGCTTTAGCAATTCCCCATGTGTTGGCCTTTTCCACAATATTTAATTCTTCTATGACGGATGCTTTCCATCCATTTGACATGGTCTCGCGGGGAGCCTTAGGAATTTATCTGTTTGGGTCCATGCCTATTATTTCAGAAGTCTCATAACTTGTAGATATTTATAAGCACACTTCATTGTCTTCTGTCAACACCGTGTCCTTATTTCAAATATCATAATAAACTTTACCTTCTTTAAGAATTACCGTTTTTACAGCCTCTGGAAACGTTACCCTCCTTCTTCTGTCTGCAAATTCATGCAGTACTTCAAATTTTATGCCAGATGCACAAGAATAAGCATCCCCTGTTACTGAGGGTTTCATTCATTTTAGTAGTTCCGACTTTATTATCGAATTCTGTTTTCTTCTTTTCCTCCAGGTTGAGTTCTTTCTCTAACGCACTTGGCAGGGACTCTAAGGCCTTATCATGATAACTTCCTCTTCGCTCTCAAGTACACTCTCCCAGTTTTAAGTTTATAATTTCTAGTTTTTAAAGCTTGTTTAGTGATAGGATCATAAATCCTCATGCAACCACCGCAGTGCCAAGGGCTAACCCTAAAAGTATGTTCTTGCAAGAATTAGGACATTTTCACGCAGGAAACATGAAGATAAAATACTTTAGAACCAAAGATGGTCAAATGGACCACCGTTGGTGTCATTTCTTGACAGCGTCCTCATTGGTCAGAGTATACGTTAATAATGATGACAGCATAACTAATTGCATTGACACAAAACTCGTGTTCAAATTTAAATTGTGATTGGAGGCTTTACCCATTTTCTTTAATGTCAATAAATCTTACAGTCATCGGATTAAGGGAGGGGTATAGAGGCTGTAAAAGTTTGTTTTATTCTTCTCTGTAGTTATATTTCCTTGAAACATTCGTTACGCATTCTTTTCCGTTCTCAGCGCGTATCCGACATCATAGCTATAGCCAAAAGTTTTATCCGAAAATTTGCCCCATTTCATAGAAAGCAACTGACTTTGCCCTGATCGAAAGAATCCATAAAAACTTGTTGCTTTTGCACACAACGGTGATAACATACTTATAATAGCTCAAAAATGCTGGTCACTGTCTACTAAGACCAACAACTAAATGAGATCTGATCGCAGGTCGTCATGTTTCTGGGTTGCTCCTCGTTTGAGTTGCTTCGTATGAAGATTCACTAGCGAAAGGACTGCACCAGCTTTTCTCCAATAATACATCAATTTATATTTATCAAAAATTCTTCGAGTTTTCTTTCTTTTAAGATGACCCATTATTTCATGCCAGTCGATTTTATTGCAATATTTTTAGATAAATAATAACACCAGTTGTTATGCCTTAGTGCTACCATCAGAGATGTTCTACTTTCCAGTGTTTTACTTATAGCTACTAGCTTCGAATAGACTGGTCTTTTTGAGTAAAAGATCGCTATGTTACTTTGGTCGCAAAGCGAGCCCACACTTACAAGATTTTCAGTGGCATCAGGGATGTTCAGAGCTCTACCTTTACAAAAATTGCTCAAACCTTTAACCTCTGAACAACTCCACTCAATCCAATTATTGTGTCAGCCACCGTCTGATGTTCACGGATATAACTTTTATTATTATAAAATGTGACAGCTGGTTTTGGAGTCCAAATTCATTCGTTCCATTATATCTGAGTGGTTGCCCATGTTAAAATAAGACCCTCACTCGCGTTCCTTATTAGGGCGTATGTTATTTATAACTTTAGTTCGGCACATTTTAGAGAGATGACCAATTCTACCGCATTTCAGGCACTTCAACCCATTTACTTTATGAAATAATTATTACTGCCATGATTATTCTTACCGAAGCGTATATATCGTTATGTTCCACGGGTTTCTTTTCTAAAGTTATTTAAATAGCTTGAGTTACTCACTTTTAAAGCAATTTCTTCACTGTATGAGTTCACGAAAACCTGTTTAGTCAATATTTTTCAAACAATAGCACTGGTCACTACTTCATTAAATGTTAACTTCTCCCTTTTATAACTCCTTTTGGTATCACATCTCTTTTAGGGTCTTTCCATACATTATCTGCGTGGAGAGCTCCTATAAATCTAGTGTTTTCATCCTCTCTCTTACTGTGGCGCTTTTGGCTCTTGGTATTTTAAACTAGAGCAGAGAAAATTAATTCCATCTGTTAAATATTGTACATTTTAATTTTCTTTCTTTACATTCACTAGCTTCTCCTCAAATGCCAATAACGTTCCTTCTATAACTACACTAAGTTTTCCATGAAGAGCTATTCATAATTTTTTTGGTTTATTTAAAGCTATTAATGAACCAGTGCCCTTTATTTGACAAAATTTACTCTTAAGACTTTCTTCAATATTATTATAATTAAGCTCTACGCAATTCCAAGTTTTCTTTTATCGCTATCAGTGCTTATAAATTGTGCTTCCATTCGGAGACACCATGTTAGTCAATCTGTTTCTTGTTTCAGTTTTTTAATGCAAGCACCAACACCGATATATGACATACTGCCTAAATTACGGTTATTCGTAACTACTTTCTATGCACTTTATATTTATTTTACTTACCTCTTATAATTTTATTTTCTAATAATAACTCAGTATCTCTTGGCTGTTAACCAGTGAAAATTTTAAGATTGAGCTATTTATGCTTATATATTAACAGCATATTTGTTCAGAGACCCGTTTTATACTAATTACTGTTTAAAGTATAATAAACAATCTAAATAAGCTATCAAGCAACATGCAATTCTAAAACCATACATCTTTATTTTTTTTTTATTAATGATTTTAGAGGATGCTCGGTGAGTTGAGAGTAGACCGCTAAAGTCTTAATTCGAGTGCAAGTGGGCGCCCGTACATCTCAAGGGGGTGGTTAGCTTTCGGGCCGCCCACCGCAGTACTAATCAAGTTTCCCGAAGATTTAACATCTCAAATCAGACAAGTTGAAGTGCTCTTCGCCAGTGCACTTCCCCCATACCGAAATTGTAAGACTCTTAACTTTCTATATACACAAAAATAAATTTTTATCATTCTCCTAAGGTCCACTAACTTAAACCACCCATTTTCTATATATGGGGACAGTAGGCTCTAGTTCTCGTAATTTATGAATGCAGTATTATAGGTAGTTTCAGTTAACTAAGCTCAACAAGACGCCATGATTAACAAACACTAATGCCGCTGTATCCCCTACAACCGTAGAAGTTTAAAATATTTATTGGGAAGCAATGCAAAATTCTTAAAAGAAAAACGAATTTAAATCTGCTTCGATCTTTTAATGTTCAAACACTCCTTTTAAAACCAAATTTACACCGAGAAATTTGTAATTTTGAGATATACAAATGTGATAGATCCGAACACAGCACTTCATACAGCTCTCGTTCATTATCCACGCCTTCCAGATAGCGATTATAAAAACGGTTCTTAATCAAAAAGTCTTGCTTTCCCGCTAAATTTGGAGTTAATATGCAATTAACCCCCAAGAGGAGTTTTAATGCTAACATTAATAACACCGGCAACGAATAGGAAAAAGAAAACAACAAAACAAGCCGTTTACACCTTTACAAAAAGGTTGAAAAGCAATTCCATTTATGTACATTGAAGATTCCGTTTAAAGGGGGCCGTTAGAGTCGATGTGTACCATCTTTGTATATAATAGTATTTCGTCTACCTATCCTACCAAAAAATGTTTAAATTGCTTTTATTTTGGAATAATTAGAGTTTATGTTTTAATTGCTTTATCTTTTAATTATAGTTTCAGTATGGCTTACTTTTGTTTAGTGTATAGGTGGTTAGGTTGTTTGCGTATAGTTTATAATTGCTGCAAATAATTAAATTCTGAAAACTGTTTTTAAAAGTTAGTAAAGACGTTCATTTTAGAAATTTTTAAAGCCGTTTTACTTAGTTTTAAATGTAGTTGACGGATTTTAAACGATGACAAAAATAAAAAATTGGTATTATTCTTGAGTTTATAGAAGCACTGTTTTTTCAAACCCCCCTAAGTTGAAGAAAAAATAAAATTAAGTAAAGAATAAAAAATTTTACTTTAACCTGAACCTTTTACTCTGTTAAGGATTATGACTATGTTCCAAAAAATTTTAACTACTTTTTACCTAATAAAACGAAATATTAAAAAGCGGTACCCTACAGTTAGTAGTCAACCTAAGTGTTTAATCACTGTATAATAAGACCTTTACAAATAGTAATTAACAACTTATAGCAGAAATTTGAATCCCCCACGAAGGGTAAATAGAAACTGAAAAAGTTAAAGGAGCGCCAAAGATTCATTTTTTTTTTAACAATGAAAAGATATTTTAAAGGCTTATAATGATTTATCTTAGTACTTTTTTTACGTTCTAAATTACATTTTTTCATTAGTTATTATTATAACTTAATAATTATACAGTCAAGAAAACACGAAAAACAAAATCGAAAGAGTCACATAGAGGCAGAAGGTCCCCCTCGCCCACGCACTAGCTCATTTTACGTTTGCTTTACGAGTTACACCCCTATGGTACTTTATTTTTTAAGTCTAGGGGGTGTCCCTCGCTTTACAGTTTGCTGAATAAAACGTTTAAGTACTTGATTGTTTCTCTGTTCCTTATTATCTCCCTACCTCCCCTTTTTACGCGGATTTAAACTTCGAGTATTTTGACCACTCAATGACTAAAAAAACTGATTCTGGTTTCGATGAATTGTGGTTATTTCGGGTCCCTCAAAATGTATGCTTATACTTCTTTTTTTCTTTATATATAATTTACTTTTTCTATTGCAGTTTAATCCCAAAATGCTTAGTGGTTTAAAAGTTAGTAAGATTGAAAACAAAGAAACTATTATTTCAACAGACTCATTTACTTGTGCAAGACCTTGCCTACTTTTTTATATTCTATTCTATTTATTTTCGTCTATAGTTTAGTTAACTATAGTCAAATTTAGTGTGTTCCGCCGAGCCCAGTTCTTTTGCTCACATGGTTCCTTTATTCCCCACTGACCAGCCAGCAAGCTTCACTACAGGCAATTTATACTAAGTGTTTTATCCTCCACGTAAAATTCTATATTTATGAAGACCCTTTTGTGCATCTTAATATATGTGTTTTTTTATACTAAAGGGGAAAGTGGATTTCGTCGTTATTTTACTATTCAATGCCCTTTAGAAGTTCCCACATTAGAAAACTTAGGATGTCGTTTGTTTAAAGAAGAACCTCGAGCTTTAAATGAAAAGCTTAAAGGTTTTTAAATATATTAGAGATACTCCAATTATAAACTTTTTTTTTGGCGGCTTACCACTTTAAGGCTTAAAACAAAGGTGGAGACCTTTTAGCTGCACTGAAGCAAAAATGTTTACTAATTCAGATTTGGAAAAAATTGAAATTGAAGGGGAAAAAAATAATTTTAATCTATTGTATAAAGCAAATAAAAACAAGAAGATTAAGTCACAATTAATAAGAAGATCAAAGCTGGTTTGTTACTCTCATTTACCTGCTCGCTGTATTTATTGCTTATAATATGCTCTGTAGATTTTTTTTTTTAAAGAATAATTAACGTTTAGAACTTTGAAAAGATTTCTTTATTCACCTTCACCTTCATTCTTTTAAAAATTATTTATATTTTAATAAGTTAGGGCTTAGGGTGAAAAAGTTGTAACATGTGAGCGTTCTGCTGAATTACTTTACTTAGCCCTGTGGGGTAAGCCTTTTGAAGGGTCCCTAAAAAGCCTTACATTTTTATTGAACCTTTCTAGATTAAAAAAATATTTTTCTTTCAACTCTCCGGTGTAGGTTAAAGACTTTGAGTTATAATTGTCTTAGTACACAAGCAGGTGTCACTACATTCTATATAAATTAATTTTTTAAATAGTTTACCGAGTTTGTAACTGATTTTAATGCATATTTATCCCTAAGAACTATATGCATATTATGTCCTACGATTTGCCGTGCTTATTAAATCCAAATACTCAACCATTAATAATTATTTCTGGTTATGTGGATAAAATTGTTAAAAGGCGATATCGTTTATGAAAGTGTCGTGTTTCCTAGTTTTAAGTGTGCTACATTCTTAAACAAAATATACTACTTTCAATTTCTAGAACAGGCGTGAGTACCAAGGGCTATTTTTTGATAAGAAAGTGTGCATGAACCATGAGCACCGACTGTCAGTATGTTCAGACCCTTTACGACGCCTAATTTTGATAGGAGCGACGGGGTAAGCGACAATTGTAAGAAGGTGAAGGGGGGAGTACTGGGGCTGCGAGGTAATCAACGAAAAGAGTCTCCTTATCCTCACCGCCTTCAGCTACTACATCGCCGTTATATGGTGGCGTTCAATGAGTTTGGCTGTGCCCCTTGACTCTCCTAACAAACTTTTGAAAGAAGACACTACCGTTGTCACCGGTCTCCCGACGCTTTACCTTACTTGGTTTCTCACTGTTGTTTAAGTGCACCATCAGCTATTTTCCTGCTCCCCCGGCGTTGTTGGTTTCAAATTTAGTAGTCCTGGTCTCGCTTGCAAAGCATAAGTACTTCACACAGTTGGTTCAATCAGGTGCAGCTAGCTAATTTCTTTATTAACTAGTGGTTTGCAATGGTTCGAAAATTCGAACGAGAATGCTAACGTTCCTCACTCATTCTATAGATCTTTCCTGCGCGGCTTTCAGTGGACCTTACTTTCTCGGACGCCAGGTAGTTTTCTATAGGACTTAGCATGTCCGCCCCCAAGATTTCACTGAGGGATTCTCATGGTCTTCCTAGGCATATTGCTAACCATTAACGGTGTCTGCCAGATTACAGGGAAGATAGCACCTGCCGAAGGACTCTTTCCACAGACGACTTTTTGTTAAGTTTAAAAGCAGATCTTTTGACCCGAGCGTACGCAACCTAGAGCTTTCCGCTGCACATGCTTACCTTGAGTTAACTTGATCCCAAAAGAAGGTACCATAACCACAACTTTCAGGTGATTTAGTCGTTGCCTAACTCGTGTTTTAGCTGCATTAGCCAAAGAGTTCAGCAAGACCTTCCAGTGTAGAGTGTGACATGACCAAAGGGTAATGAACCTACATTTAGCGTATGTTCCGGCGACGGGTGGCAACCTTTCAAGAAACCTAGATCGAAACCATCAGAGAGTGCAGAGAACTAAGCCGTCTGTAGACGCGAATTTTATATGTAGGCTTGTCTGTTAGAAGGATTTACACGGCGATGAACCTGGCGGCAGAAAGCAACCGTTACTTTCTTTGAAGAATGTACATTGCAAGCGCGAAGACTCACAAGTTTCAAGCCAACAGTCCAAGGTGCATGAGACGCGCCTAATGCTACCATTAAGCCAACTTGCACAGCTGCCCAAACGGGATCTTTGAATGATGGCCGACGCCCACATCGCTGTAGTCGCTGCGACAACAAATGTTGCTTGCGAGTCCTCGCAAAAAGGGTCGGGTAAAGATGTTTAAAATAGTAAGGTAGATTGCAGAGACAACCGCAAACAACGGGACTAGAGAACTAGTCTCTCATCTCTTATACGTCATTTTCAACGCCTTAATTATGACAAAAATACCTCTATTAGTACTAAAATAGTACAACCAGCAGTAAAAGGGGCGTGACGTAAATTTAAGAAGTTGAATTATTAGATTTATGAACACTAAAATGCGTATTTTTAATTTAAATAAAAAAGTTTTTCCTCATAGTTTAAAGATCCTAACTAGTCTCTTACTGTTAGATCCTATTAGATTTTATTGGTTTAACAGGTTTTTTTACCTTGTTTATTTAGTTTAGTTTATGTGACATTTTGGAAAGATAAGAATTTTATTAACTAAGCCTATGACTCTATCAACTTGAGCCAATAATCAGATAAACCTGAGCCATTAGTGCATCAACTTAACTAAATGCAAATAACTCTGTCAAAGGTAGCTCTATAAAACGTTAATTAGCTACAGTACTTGTTGTCACCCCCTCTATTCAATCTATGTAAACAAGTGGCATGACCGCTGACACAGTTTGCTTCCAAGTTTATTATTTAGCCAGAATATTGTTAAAATTGTATGAAGGGTTTGGATAGACCACAGTGTAGTTTTCGTAAATCATTTATTACACTTGCAATGAGTGATTTGGACGCACCTATTAGCTGAAAGTTGCATTATTTAATCAAACTTTGGGACTTTATACTAAGATTGTTTATTTGTTGTATCTTAGGTTTATTAGCTCTGTTTAATTGTTTAAAAATATATAAATTGCACAGGTACGCTAGTATTTTTACTTTGGTTTCAGGTTAATGAGCCTGTTACTTTAATAGATTTAATCAAAACCGCATTCACCTAGATCAGTCTTCGGCTAACTGTAGGATTCAGCTCAAGTCAGAATAAAATTTCATTGTTTTTTATTTGTTATACTTTTATGATTACTTGTATTAACGCGTTTTAAATGCAGGCTTTAGATCGTGATTCTGACACACCTTGTACGCTGAATAATAAGTCAAGATTGTGCTAACTTCCCGTGAATGATTTGTGAATTAGTGACTATGGCCCTTTTATGATAACGATAAAGTGACTATTTTCCCTTTCTGGAACTGTTAACAAGTTAGGATAAGGGTACCTTCCTTTGAAGGCTGGATCTACGTAAGTTGGCCAATGTAGAGAGAAAAGGCTCAAGTAAAATACTACAATTGGGACTCGAACCCAAAGAGGAGACTCTTAAGATCTCTGCGTAAACCCCCTCGCCTTTGTAGTTAAGGGCTACTTCAGTAGAACACAACAACTAACAGTCTAGAAATGCTAGCTCTTTAATGTTCTACTACAGTTGAACGAAAAGAGGATAAAAATTATGTGCCTCCTCTTGGGCATCGTAGTAGGCAATATGGTACATATTTCCTACTCGAGCCAGGTGTTATTAAACTACTTCGTGTTGAATAATCACCGTAAAGAGGAGGAACATAACTTGACTCCTTTTTACGTTCTTCTTTGGCATAAGGATCTAATTAGCATTTCCAGAGTGTTAGTTAGTTTTGTTCTAATAAAGTAGAACTTTTTCATCATTTTAACTATAGTTAAAATCTAAACTCTGCTCCTGGCTTGGAGTAATCTAGTGCTTATTTCCTAGCATTAACGAGGGGTCTATAGATCTGAACAGTGATCTCTAACTATATTCAAGTCCATTGAGGTGGAAAATCCATTAGCTTTCTCTTTGTCTTTCGATATTGATAGCTACCTCTAGCAGATTTATTACCTCGAGTAATAAGATCGGGCCTATATCTAATAGGCGTCTACCGGTAGGTAAAAAATATCTATGGTTGACAAGCAAGTGCCATCCGAAGGAGGATTACAAGGTAGATGTTAGGGTATCTGTCTTGGGTTATTTATCTTCTCTGATTCTAAGGCGTCGTTGATATTGTACGTTGTTGTTAATACGAAACTGAAACTAATGACAATTTTACACATTGAACAGTAAAGTAACACGAAGGGCAAACTACCTTTCAGCTTTATGCTAAACCCTTAAAATTAGGATTCTGATAACTTCCCGAGTTCGGCTCTTTTCTGAAGTACCTTGTACTTCGGAGAGTCGTAGGGTTGTCTGAAAGATGACTTTAAAAATCCCTTGTATTAAAAAAACATGCTCTTAAAATGGTAAGAAGTCATCGGTGATTCTACTCTTCAGGCAGATGCTAAATTCTCTGTATTCAGGAGGTTAAACTCATAATCTTAGGCTAAAGTTAGCTCCGAGTGATAAAAATGAGTTTGCCTTGTTGGATGATTAGTTGTAGCTTTGAAATAAATAGGCTCCTTAACTTTGCTAAAGTAAAAGCTTACGCGATGTATACTCGAGTTAACCCTATGCTTAATCCGGAGCTACTTGCGCAGTCACCTTATCAGAAAGTTTGGCTAATTAACGAGCTTTTTGACGATAGCATTGGTATTAGTTTGGTTAACATTCGAGCGGCCATGATATTCCATTCGGGTCGATCGTTCGCTGACTAAACTGTAAAGTGTTAATATATATATATATATTTACAATGCTTCTACCTTGTCGTAATGAAACAAAACTTTCCTTTATTTTCTCTATGCTATTTATCTAGGTAGAAGCATTTTTTCAAACTTTTGCAGGTCATTTTTGATAATTACGGAGTTTAAAACCTCATATAAGAGGTTAGAAGTTTGCCTCCTGTCTCGTTTGCTTGCGCGTGTCCTGCGCTCGCTCTTTGACTTTTGTGCGGAACGCGCGTGGGCAACCCTAATTATCGCTGCGACCTCGGCGAGGCACGCGTCGACGATCCTTTAAAGAAGTTTAATGTCAACCGTGCAGACAGGTGCTATTAATGTTAGCATTAGGGGCCTGAAATCTCATGTGCCTTGTGGACTGTGGGGTCTAACCTTTTGAACCTTCGCAATAGTTATGTACTTTCTTTAACGGGGGGACGATCCTTTTTTACCGCCAAGTCTTTACTGTAAAGCGGTCAAAAAAGATTCGCTCTATATATTCAAATTCGTATCTAATTTGGACGTTAGTCTTTGAAGCTTCCAGATGGTTCAATCTATGGAAGGTGAAAGGTTGACATCCTAGGTGGATTACCCTTCGGATGTAGACTTACCTTTGCGCGGATCATGCCGCTCTCTACTGTCTAACAGGCTTACCATACGTTTTGAACTATTGCAGTTCAACTAAATATCTGGGTAATAGCTAAATCTTTAGACCGTGACTATGGTACCTTCCTGGGTGAGGATCTGAGTTGTGAGTTGAACGTTTACTTAGAAAACTTCTAGAGTTGCATAACGCCAGGTTGAACACAACTACCTTTAAACCCGGCATAAACTTCAAGCTGGATTGTATATAGACAGGCGCTATCTTCCCTATAAATCTTTTACCAAATATGACGGTCGATAACATGCCGCGGGCTGGTCCTTTTGTATTCATTGACTAGAGTGGTTTGGGGAAAGGTTTGACTTTTCCGTAGTAAATTTATCTGAGCTAATAAATTTGGGTACTTTGAGGTGACACGTTGAATACTCGCTTCGCCTTTCGAAGCAGTTTTAAATCTAACATGCCTAGAAAGATCCTGTCAACCCCTTGATGAAATCTTGAGTTGTAACATGCTAAGCTGACTAGTACACTACTGTACATTTAAGTGAGTAGTTAAGAACGAAAACCATGGCAGCAAGAAGTAGTAAATGAGTGATGCGACATAAGACTATCGTCATATTCCATGGACATTGTAAAATAAATCTCTAGTATAAAGTTTGGCTAAATTACGAGCTTTGTGCTAACGGTACTGATTGAACAGTGTTATTTGTATATACTCATTTGGATGGTTCCTGACCATTCGGTTGGGCGTATATGGCATCTATAGGGTTATTAGATACGAGTATTATACATATAAGCCGAACCAAGTCAGGTGGTCATTAAACTACTTCGTGCTAAACAACCACCGTAAAGAGGGGAACATAATTCTCTTTACTTTTTTTGTTCTACTTTATAGACTAATCTAATTATCATTTCTAGAGTGGTAGTTAGTTTTGTTCTACCAAAGTAGATGCAATTCCAATGTGTAGCTAAAGTAATTAAGATAGCCTTTTAAACCTTCCCGAGGTCAACCTAAGCTGTGAAACGAACCTAGTTTAAAGAAAAACTTAACAGATAAACTTAAAATGTGAAAAGGGAATCTAGTTTAAACACTGAAGCTCTAAATTATTGATAACAATGGTAGTTAGATATGATAATGAGATCTGGAAGATCTTAGAGGTAAATAGCTGGCTTTGAAATTAGAACGGTAGTATTTTTATCTTTCCCAAAATAACTCATCGTAGTAAAGTTAATTAAAATATCATAAATGAAAAATGAAACTAACGTGGTTCTTAATTCTTTCATGAATGTAATTTAAGTGAGATAAAACATCTTCCTTATAACCTAAACTCTGCTACTCTACTACTGTGAGGACTTGTGGTAATCTAGTGCTTATTTTAGAGCAGAGAGGTTTGAATAAAAAAATATAATATAACTTAAATTAATAATATAAAATAGAATAAATATAAATAAAATTCTAGGTAGTATATCTAAGGTGCTTAAATCCTTTAATTTGTTGTTATCCTTCTATGGATACAACCACAATTTTGGCCTTTGACGGGTCATTTTTCGTAATTAAAGTGCTTTAAACACCGTATAAGAGATAAGAGGCTCGTTCTCTTACCTTTTTGGTTTGCGGTTGTCTCTGTATGCAACCTGAACCTTTTTAACCTTTTTAATTTTTTAAGCTTTCCCTTTGTGCGGGTCTCCCAAGCAACCTAAACTTAACTGTGACTACAGAAAGTAAAACCTTTGTCGTTTAATAGGCTAACACATTGGCAACAGCATAGGTTAGACTCTTTGTGGGATTGCTATGTCGATTATTTTGATTTGACATTCGACCGTTGGATCTACCTTTTGATCCTTTGATAAGTGTTGTACAAACCTTAATGGGCGTAAAAACTACTGTTCCACCTCGAGGGCCATAATCGTACAAGCGCACGAAAAAATCGTGCCTATATATAAAATTTGCGGGAAGGCAACAGGTATCCAACCTAAGGAACAGCAGCGTGTAAACGTAGGCTATCAAACCGCGAGTCATGTCA